GGGGGGAGGGGTGGGGAGGGGAGGAGTAGAGATATCTCTCTCCGAAACAAGGGCTGGGGGAAGGGTGAGGGGACATGGGACGTCTCCAGAGCCGTTGAAAGATCCTTTAAGAATTTTGATGACATAAGTGTGCAAACGTATGAACATTTTTGTGTGTGAGTATGTGGGAAAGGGTGAGCGCAGGGCAGAAGAATAGCTTAAAACAAGACGAAAAAAGTTTGATTCCAAGTGTAGAAGTGTATGCAAGTATGTGAGCGTGTGTGTGTTTAGGTGATTGTTTTTATGTATATGAGTGTGTCTTCTTGTGTTTTGCATGTGTGTGTATGTGTGTGTATGTATGTGTGTGTGTATTTGTGTGTGTGTGTTTGTGTTTGTGTGTGTACGTGTGTGCTGGTGTGCCAAGGTAATAATATTATACATCATTCTCTGTCGATGCAAGTAAGTGTTTATTAGAGTATCACCTATTTAGTAACACTCTACTCAAGGTCTACATTCAGAACGTTACTTATTACTCACATGCGAAGTCTCCACTGTTCACTCTCTGTGGGACCAAAGTATGGGTAGTAATGAGACCATGCTTGAGAGACGATTTTAACTTCTTCCAAAAGAAAGACGATCTTAAGTACCATTAGACCGTTACCTCTTTGACGTCAGGGATGTAGCTACGACGTCATGTCGTGTAGACGATTTCAGCTTTTTCAAATAAAAATATATTTCAACTAGCCTTACGTTACGCCCGAAAGATGATTTTAACTTCTAGTAAAAAAGAAAGTCTCTAAGTAAACAAACTTTACTACCCACAAAGCAATTTTAACTTATTCCCTAAAGAAAGGCATGGGTGGTTGGCGGGTGCTCTGGTGTGGTTTGCTCCTTCTTTCCTACTAAACATCTCTATCGCCCTGATCTCTTATCCTTCTTTTTTGTGTTCATTGCTCTCTTGAAACAACTATAATTTATGTGGCAGTGGAGGAACCTTGATGAGTGAGAGAAAGGTTGGGAACGGGGAGGAAGGAAAAGAGGAGGAGTGGAAAGAGGGGAATGAGAAGAGGAGGAGGAGAAGAAGGAGGAGAGGAGTATACGTCGTAGATGAAGGGGAAGTAATTATATGACTTTATTGTGTTGCAAGTGCCATAAAACTCTTACTATAACTAACTAAAAAGAAAGAGCTCAAGCAGACATAAATTATCCGGCTATTTCTTACCTGCATGGTTTTTGATTTTCTAAATTGTTTACCTGCAGAAAGACACTCGAGTGCCCTACAAAAGAACATCGTGGACCAATTCCAGCCAAACGCCTCGTGCCACGCCCACGAGCAAGGCCCAGCGCACCTGTCTTTCAACGATTTCGCCATACTTCCGGAGCAACAGGCGGATGACGTCAGGCGGATAGAGCAGGCCCAGGTCTTTGTTATAGTAGAGGTTTTACCGCGCTCGCAACTGCATAAGGTCATATGAGCGCCAGAAGATTAGAGGTCTTACAACAGAGTAACAAAAATAAAAAAAGAAGAAGAGGAGATTAGGATATAGAATCTAGATGTTTGATAGGAAAGAAGGAGCAAACCACACCAGAGCACCCGCCAACCACACACGAAAGCCCAGGTCTGAATGACTGCTGATGGGGAAGGGATGGGGTGGGGTGGGGGAGGGGTAGGAGGAAAAAGAAGTAGAGGTAGTAGGCATTTGGAGGTGGAGGTGTAGAAGGGCACTTAGGAGAGAGAGAGGGGAGGAGGAAATTAGGAGGGGGAGGAAAGGGGAAGGAGGAAGAGGAGGGGAAGATGAGTAAGAAACGGAGGAGGGGTAAGACAGGATGTTATCATCATCATCCCCGTCGTCATCATCATCATCATCATCATCATCATCATCATCCCCGTCGTCATCATCATCATCCTCATCATCCTCATCATCATCATCATCATCATCATCATCCCCGTCGTC